AGGCGGAGGTCACGTGACCCACCCGGATCACGTGAGAGGGCCCGGCCGGAGCGGGCAACGCCCGCCGGGGCGGGACCGGCGCTCTGCCGGGCTGCCTGCGGCCTTGCGGGGCGCTGTCCCTGCGGAGAAAAGCCCAGCTCCGTCCCCGCCAGCAAAAGCCATGGGCGGGCTTGGGTGCCCATCCGGTGGTTCTCTTGGCAGCGGTTAGCGCCTTTCCCCAGGATGCTCTGTAACTCTAGCTGACAGCTGCATTTCCTGGTGGTCTCCCATCCACGCATCTGCCAGGGTCAGCTTCCCTTCCCCTGTGCAGGCGAGCCGGCCGCGGCTGTTCGGTGTCGCGGGGCTGCAGTGAACACTCCCTCAAGACCCTCAAGACCCGCGGGCCAACTTTTTGGCAGGGGGGTCTGCAGGGCGGGCTAAGAAAAGTCAGGATGGCGGGGCAGTCAGGCAACCAGGGCTCTGTGTGTGGATGCCCGACATTCTAAACCCACCGACCCCCTGAAACTATCCACAGACCCCCAAGCGGCCCACGGACCCCAAGTTAGGAAACCCTGTTCTGGTTTAAAAATGACAAGTCCATCAGCGGGAAGGAGTTGGGTCTGCCACAGGCAGATACAGCCGCACATTTGCATCTGGTTCTGCACAACTTAAGAAAGGTTTGCAGGAACAGGAATGAGTGCAGGGAATGGCAGTGAAGGGGACCGAGCAGTTAGGGAACGAAGTCTTAAAAGAGGAGATTGACAGGACGGGGACGGTCAGCTTTGAGAACAGGCCGCTGAAGCAGGGTTAGATAAACCTACCTCCCGAGGTCGGTGTGCCCCCGCTCTCAGGGCCTTCAGGAAGAGCGTGAAATCCTGGCTATGCCAGATGGCCTGGGGGCCGCATGGGGGTTCACACCAGTGGAAGTGGCTTGTGGGGTAATTGATATTACTCCCCCGTCATCTTGAATGCTATTTAGTTTTCATGTATAGGGTTTGTTTCTGTAGTCTGACTTTTTAATGAATTCATTTTAATTAATGAATGGGGGCATTTATTTTTT